GAGGCCCCCCCCCCCCCCCGACACTCTCAGAACAAACATACTCCCCCATACACATGGCACTGCTGGAAAATATAGGAAGAAATTGTAGTTGCTTTAATGACCGATTGAAGCTCCTCTACACCAACACCCTAACCATGCCAAGGCAGGTCTTTAAGAAGGCACAGCACAGATAAATGAGCAATGGCAAAAGCCGTTTCTGCTGTGCACCTCTCAAGCTCAAGGGGAGGAGGAAGACAGAACAAATAGATTAATCTAAAGAAAGGAAAAACTAGAAACAAGCTGAAGATTTAAATAGGCATTCACTTCTCTCCTAAACAACAATGGAGGGTTGTGGTTCCAAATATCCCTTTTAAAAAAAATAATCATCACCTGTTCAGGAAATAAATGCACCTGGAGAACACACATGTTCTCTAACACACCCAAGCAGCAAGCATCTGTTTTGTGTTTCTGCAAAGGGGAAAAACAAATATATCCTTATTCGTGACCTGTTTGCAACAAAGTATTTGTTCATGGCTTTGTAGTGGGAAAAACTTACCTTAATTTCTGTGCCATTTCCTAGTCTTGTTGCCACAACTGAAAACACAGTGCAGCATCACTTTCCCCTCTCTGTAGGGGCACCACCTCACTTACACTTCAGTTTCAAAAGTTACTATAAACTGCAGTAGCTTTCAAAAACCTCTGGAGAGCAAGAAAGCAGCAATGTCAGACAGTAGATGTTTGCCTTTCCTTCAGTTGCTAAGTTTGCAGTGTCAGACAGCAGAAACCAGTCCTGAGCACTTTGAGGAGCTTTAAGTGCTAACACATCTCCCTCCCACTGAACTGCCATTAAAACCAAGCCCTACCCTGCAAGACTGGATGGCTCTTAGAGAGCCGAACTCAGAAAATCTCTTGAGTTCTTCTCTATGGTTGGAACTGGAGAAGACCCTCTACCACTGAAGCAATAGTTACATGCAACAATGCGTTTATTGACAATTTAGTTTTCCATTCAGGGGTACAGTCACCCATACACCTCCTCCACCTCTACTCACGTCTTTCACATACAAAGCATTTTGCAGCTACTCACACCACACTAGATCTCCCCTTCCCCTGCAGCACTCCCAAATCAGCGAGACCAGTGGTATCGCCACACACAGCGCTACTACAATCTGGTTCAAAACAGTTCTGCTCTTAACAGAGGACTCACTCTATACTCAAAGTCATCCCTCCAACTCCAGGGACAGTAATTTTCTAGCATTATAGTTAAGATGTCCTCAGCCCTCTGCGTACACCCTGTCAGTTTCTCACACTCCCTGATAATATATTTCCATTTATGCCCCACATCACAGCCCTGCACATTTAGCAATTTCATTCCCTGCTAGCAATATCTGGCAATAAGATCCCTTTAAAGAAGGCTAATTACAGACTTCACTTGAACAGAAATTGGTCCTGGGCCAACCTGTAAGCTCTTTAATAAGCTTTCAAACTTCACTTCATGCCAGGCAAGACTTTGTTCTCCACCGGGAAGAGCAACATAGCTCTAAAAGCAAAGGTGGAAAACTTGCCACTGCAAGAGGAGGAGGGAAGGTCACAGCTCTAATTCCTCTTGCAACACTACACCTTCTCCATGCAAGTCTTTGCCTGGAGATACACTGCCCATGTTTCACAAAAAAAAAAAAAAAAGCCTAAGGAAGCAAGTTCAGATATCATGAAAATAATGAAAAATAGTCACAAAAAAAACCCCTGGCTGACAGTTGTATCATAAGAGGAACAAAGACCAGTATGACAGAAAGTGGGACAAGGACTCAAAAATTAGGAATTGATAAAATTAAGGATGCATGGTCACGTGCGTGCGTGGAGCATGGCATTTTGAGAATGCTTGTGTGAAGATAGAGTTCCAGTTTTCAAAGGGATGGAGGAACACAAGCCAAAGTCTCTCAAGCACCTCAGTATCTAGTCCCATATCAGGACAAATGCTTCCATTATATGGAAATACATGCCAGACTTAGCACAGAAAAGAGCAATCCCACCTGCAGATGCTCCTCTCCACCTCTGTACTACCGTCACATTTGCTCTCTGTAAGCTGTGCCCACCACACCTAGTGAAATCACATTTCAGCCAGACCATTTTCCTGAGGGGAATTAATGCAAGACTCTGCAAACCACCCTCCGTGCTACCTGCCCAATAACCGGGGTGGGAACTGAAACGGGTAATTGATAAAATGAGGGTCAACAGGAAGATGGTCCTGTTTTGAAGATACAAGACTAGCACCCAGGAAAACTACACAAGAGCTTTCTAGGCAAGATTAGATAAGTCATCATTTTCCACTGTGGTCAACAACTACATGGCATCACATGCAGACGTCACACCTGATATACTAACATACTGCTGTCGGAGTGGCTGACTGCCCAGGGAATCCCAGCTGGAGCCTGCGGGAACCACACACACCAAGTACACAGCTGTCAGGAAGTCTCCAACTGGGAACTCAACCCACAGGCACTTAAAGAAGTGTTATGAGCATTACATATGTAAAGCACACATATCAATAACATCTATTTGACAGAGATTAAACCCACATGTATCTACAACATCCTCAGCTTTTAACATGCCTAAAGGTTTTCCTCATTGGGAGATGCCACACTAAAAGAATAACTTGTGACAACAGCAGACTTTTCTCCTATATATAGGCAAGCCTTTAAGAGGCCAACAGAACCACATTTGCAGAAGGGCTACACTCCTACTCCCTAGACACTATTAAAACACATTTTAATCATCTTGGGGGACACCTTTGGGAGCAGGGAAACTGAGCCATCGTACAACTGCAAAGTTTCACATTAATTTTGAAAGGCAAATCACAAATCTGACCACTCTCCAAACCCTAAAAGCTGAGAATAAAAAAGTGGTGGAAAAGGAACTATCTTTTTCCAGCATTTGTCTCTGAAGCACCTATGCAGATTTTACTGAAACATTTGCAGGGCTTCCCAACTGAAGATAGACCTAGTGGGAAGAATCTAATCTAGAACCTCAAGACTATCAAAACGAATACCTGAACACAGACCACCATAACAGGAAACAATAAGAAACCCGAGATTTGTGTTAATATACGCTCTAATTATTAACACACGCAAACACACAGAACCTATCAGCAGCGCCAAGTCATTTGAAAGCAAAAAGCACTACTCAAATACAGATATTTACCAGCAGCTGTATCGCCATCATATTCTCCTACCGGTTTTGACTCAGTGGACGTCAAGTTAATGCCACAGGACAGTATCATTCACTTTTATAATAGCTACTGACCTCATTTCTGTGTTTGAGCCCTGCTGTAGTGTCATGACTAAATGTGGCAAGCAACAAATCACACTCTGTCAGCAGCCAGTGCCTGTCCTTTCTCCTTTCAAAGCTTTCATTCATTTCTGCATTTTTTAAAGTCATGCTGCTTCAAAACAGCTGATCCAGATGGTGGATATTCAGATTTCAACCTTCCCACATGGTGATGTGGCTCAAGAAAATAAAAACTGTTGCTACCTGCTGCTGACCTACTTCCTTTGTTTCCTGCCATACAACAGAATAAACAATACAGTTCATTGAACTAGTCTTCTGCACCTATCCACCACTATGTAGAAAATATAAAATAAAATTAATAGAGGAAAGAGAGGGAAGGAAAAAAAAAAAAGCAGCATTATCCAGTGGGGGTAGGGGGAAGCAACTCTCACCTCTATCATAGTCATCTTCCTCTATTGCTTTTTCCTGAAGCCTCTGAAGCCGTAAGACCAAGGATTTTATCTATGCAAAGAAAAATAATTAATTATAAATAAGTTGTATTTAAAACTATTTAGACTATTAACCTTTGCATAATATAAATGTAATTGATTACTGCATAGCTAGAATGGCCCGCTTTTGAGAGTTAAGCCCAACATTTGTTAAGTGGACTGACCTATTTTGAAGTCAGCTGAACTGCAACTACTTGAGCCAAGCCTGGCTTTAGTCTAAACACATACAGAGAATAACAAACAATACTTCTTGAAAAGGAGATCATGTGATCATAGGATATTTTTAACCCTTTGAACAAGTAAGGATTATTACAGGATTCTGTCAGCATGACATCTACTCCTGATCGTAATGTACTCAGTGTGTTCTTGAGCCCATTCTAACAATTTCTTGCCTGAGTTTTGCACAGAACAAATCCAGAATTTCCACATGCAAACGACATTTTCTTCTGTAAGTGAAAAAAGAAATACTGCATGAATATTTTAGAACAAGTATACTCATGTTATGGCATGGAAAGTTGTGTTCACATGCAGCCAATGAAGTTTCATTAAAATATAATTTAGGCTTATCTACATAACATTGGCATTTGCATTTTCAGAAATGTTCACATTGCAAATGCTACATGGGGAAAAAAAACCAAAACACCAAAAACACCTATATCATATAGGGAATGCCCTTTCCCACCCAAAAAGAAACTCTCACCCTAATAATGTTTTATTTCAAATGTTACTGCTTCTCTTTTGTCCAGACCTTTCAGGTTAACAAAGTTCTGAATTTGCTAAAAATTCCTAAGGCCAGGTGTGCATTGAAAGGTAATTACAAGTTTTCATTGTTAGAAGACTTTGGTCAGAAGGTACGCAGTCCTTTCCTCATTGCCATGTCAGCTGCAGCCTAACATAGCTACAGTTACAAGACTGAAAAGTGTTTTCTTATTAAATTTATACATGACCTGTACCAAACAAGCTATTATCAGCACTGAAAAAGGTAAACCTGGAAAAAGATGCAGCATATATTCTCCTACCCCAAAGCCTAAAAGTGCTTAGGGAAGCATTTCTCAACACAAGAAAATCTGTAGACAGTCTGTATTTACAAAAGATTTCACTCCTATATTTAAACTCTAAATTGCATTGAGAAAAACAGGTACAGCCAGTCAACAACTTAATAGAAACACTTGGTTATTGTGACTACACAATCAACACATAAATTAAGCAAGACATTTAAATTAATGGTAGCCCTTCTAAATATGGTATGTGAAAGTGGACTAGTCAGAAAAGAACTATAAAAAATAAAGCCAGAGAAGAATAAAAAAAAAATACTTGATTAATAACAGGCTATACAATGCCCTAGAGGAAAAACAAAAGCAAACAAAACACAACATTGTACATATTCCTTTCTCTCAAGGCCTTACTTTATTTTGGTTTTCACATCCTGGAAGTCCCATTTTTCTTCTCTAAGGCTGGTGAGGAATGCGTAACATATTGAAGGAAGGACCTCTGAATCCTCACCATAAATTATTTTCTATATTTTATGTCATACTTTTGATAGAGTTTTAAAGAAGCCTGCAGTAAGAATAGTTCAAATGACACATTTTTCGTATACATCATGTATAACAACCCTCTGTACCGAGAGTACAGCTTTGCTGCTGTTTGCAGTGTTTATCCCATCACATACTCACAGTGGCAGGTCATTTAAAGTCTGCCTGGGTACCACAGCCCAGGCATGCCCACAGCAAACTGACTGATGCTGTCACAGTAAAGTGCTTTCTATTTGCAGGCCCATAAGACATTTGGAGCTCAACTAATCAAAGAGCTGCTTCAGCATGGCACGTCCTCTATCTGTACCATGTGATGACCACCTTTTTTTTTTTATAATAAGTACAAAAAAAGCATAATTTTAACAACTTAGGTATTGTCTGCTTTTGTCAACTACAGTCGCCTTTGTCCTTTCTGAAAAGTTTGCAACTTGCTCATTATCCTTACAATAGGGAGGTGATTCAAATTAAACATACATGACTGGCTAACCAAGGGCAAAGACATCTGAGGGCACAAATCCCCAATTCTCCATTCAATAAATTAATGAATACAGAAATTTAAGATAGCAATGTTTCTTTTGTGCCTATCAAATAAGCATACTGAAAAGACAGAAAAATAATTTCTTATTTTGATTACATTATATAGTCCCAAATTTGCAGCAAATTAATTTCCCAAACCATCCTGGACTATGGACATGTTGTCATTCCAGGCACGAAGCCAAAGAAACTGCTCCATGTCAATGTGCGTGAAGTCTGTAAATAAGAGAACCGAGTTTCAGTCCTACTTGCATCCTCTATGAAAAGCAAGTATTAGAGAGCATTGTAAGGCCAGGTCAGATGTCATGGAGAGTAAAGTAAGACTAAAAGCTTCTCAATCTTCTGTCTTACCAAGACAGCAAGACTGTGCAAAGCCTCCCCACAGCAGGTTGTTTCATCAGGCCTAAAGACAATACAGTGCATCTCAGCAGGTATGTCTGAGCTGAGAAGTCACAAGAAAGGTGTCCCAGAAACTCAGAGCAGTAGCGAGACATTTAAAAACACACAAACCACCAAAACACACCAAAAAACAAACCACATCAAAAAAACCCCCTGCCACTCAGTGAATCTTGAACAAATCTGAAATCCATCATGTCCACATTAATCTCTGGTTTACTGCTTCCCACATGCACATTAAAGCCAGTATTTGGATCCTTTTCACAGGTAGGAATGGTTTCCCTCTGATGACCACCCTGCCATCCCAAAAACTGTATAACAAAAGATAACTCATCCTTCTTAAGGTTTCCCCACTCCTCTCCCACAAAGAACACAGAGATAGAGACTGCCTGTATATGTGGTATACATTTGGGTATACACATGTGCAAAAAGAAAAACTCCTGACTCAACAGCCCAGTACTCCTCTGGGGTAGAAAAAAAAAAAATTCAATTCCCAGTACAAGTTAGAGCAGGGACTTGACGCCTATTTTACTTTGTGTGGGGAGAGTACCCATCTATTAGATTACAGGCTACTCTCACACAGGTGCCTCACTCAAAGAAATCTTTGGCTAAACTTACTTATTTCCATTACAAAGTTTAATGTTGTTAAATCACAGTGCTTCAAGAAGAGAGTTCTTACCATTCCCAAATTTTATATTACATGTACTCCAAGCTACAAAGTAGCCACCTATGAAAGAAAACGGTATTTGTTGAATTCAGAAACTCATGTGTGACATATTAGAAATGAGAGGATCACAGTTTCAGCAGAACACAGGAATTGGGTACTGCAACATCATCATCTCTTTTTAAAGAACCAAAAAGAAACTGGTTCTCTCACTTTTATCATGCAGACTGCTAGTGTAAACCTCTATGAACAAGTGTCACAAAAGCCAATAAAATCCCAACTCATACATCAACTTTGGCTTTGGCACTATAAATACAAATGTTTTGGGGGCCAGGAGGAGGAATCAAAGAGGAAGAGAGATAACTAACCTTTAATGTACAGCGGTTGCCGAGCAGGCAGTCCTGTAGCACTGGTTCATATTTTTTCATCAAAGTATCCCAGTTATGGTCACTAATAGTAAAGCTACTTTCATAGCCCGAGGTGACAGAAGAGCCAGCAGATGCTGCATCCAAGGAATCTGTAGAATATGAAAACGTTGCATCTGTATCCGAGAGAGAGACAGTCTCACAGTCCTGTAGTTTATCATTTGCTGTGGTCTCATTTTCATACTCCAAATCCTCTCTGGGCCTGGAGACGCAACGCAAAGCTCCCAAGTACTCACAAGCCTGAGCTGTCTCCTCTGGCTTCTGCAGATTTCCTGTGGTGCTAGGACACAGAACACGCTCGGCTTCCTCGACGGTTGACTTGCCTTCAGCATCACTTACTCCAGAGGACGAGCTCAGGGAGAGCTGTATGAAGCTGAAACTTGAACTAAAGCTATCATGTGCACCAACAGAACAAGAAACAACATCTCTGTTTTGATATTCACAGTTGTTATTCGCTTCTGTCTGATCCAAAGCATACATGTTTTGGGGCTCGCTCACTTTAGCGCCGTGGCTCTTCTGCCACGTACAACATACAGCAGAAACTTCTCCTTTGCCTGTTGGTGCAGCAGGGTAAACCGGTATCACTGTGTTTTCTGGACTCTTGTGACATGAAAGATTTTTACAGCTCTCTGGCATATTTCCAGCAGCAGCCAACATTGTTACCCCGTTAGCGGGAACTACAGCACTATTTACAACTGAACTACAGTGTAAGAATTCAAAGTTATTTTTGTATTGTCTGCACAGAGGGCAGTTCTCAAAGTCTCCACAATACTTCCTACCATGTTTAAGCTCTTCTGGGTTGAACAGCTTGCAGGCACCCAGGGACTGAAACTCTATCTGTCGCTGAGCTTCTGGCCTCATGTATCCAGGTCTTTTTGCCAGTTTCTTTTTATGAAGAGAGCCTGCAGGCGTTAACTGCTCCTGACCATCTGAGGGAGGGGGGGGGAAAAAAAAAGTCAATAAAGTGTTTCTGCAGTTTTCTAGCTTAACATATTGTAGCATCTGAAAACAATTGTTTCAGGGATTTCAAACAGCACATTGGTTTCCATTCTGACAGAAAAAAGACACTGACCATATTACGGATAGAGGAGAAAAGTTGTTACCAGAGAACACTGTGTGTATTCATCCACTTTCTAAAGAATTTGCACCTGCTTTTAAGTGAACTCACTAACATAACCACATCCATTGGGACACAAACCCAGGTAAGATGAACCGCATCATCTTCCCTATTCATAGCAATACTCTGCACACCTTCCCTCTCAATTCACTTAGCAGCACACTAAAGCACAGACCTTGTTTAAGTCTCTCTGATCCAGCTGGTAACTAAGCCCAACACAGCCACTTGCTCACTCCCCTCCCATGGCAGGATGGGGAAGAGAATCAGAAGGGTAAAAGTGAGAAAACTCGTGGGTTGAGATAAAGACAGTTTAATAGGTAAAGCAAAAGCCACGCACACAAGCAAAGCAAGACAAGGAATTCATTCACCACTTCCCATGGGCAGGCAGGAGTTCAGCCATCTCCAGGAAAGCAGGGCTCCATCACACGTAATGGTTACTTGGTGAGACAAGTGCAGTAACTTTGAACGTCCCCCCCTTTCTCCTTCTTTTCCCCGACCTTTACGATTGTGCGCAATATCATATGGTATAGAATATCCCTTTGGTCAGTTGGGGTCAGCTGTCCCAGCTGTGTCCCCTCCCAAGTCCTCGTGCACCCCCAGCCTGCTCACTGGGGGGGTGAGGTGAGAAGCAGCAAAGGCCTTGGCTCTATGTAAGCACTGCTCAACAACAACAAAAACATCCCTGTGTTATCAGCACTGATTTCTGCACAAATCCTAAACATAGCCCTGTACCAGCTACTATGAAAAAAATTAACTCTATCCTAGCCAAAACTAGCACACTCGAAGAATTTTTGTGCATAATCTGTTGTTGCTCACGTCCAGTCTCTTGTGTTTGTATCCATGTTTTATTAGGATGAGGAAGTGTTTCAGACTCTGCTTCTAGAACAGATGTGACACTGTAATGTCACATATATGTCAATATTGCATGCTCCATGGCTGCATATCTGTCAATTTAATGAAATATTTTATAAGTTTTCACTTAGATTTACTGTACTACCTATTGTCCAAAACATGAAGTTAAAGGAGAAGTTTTGCATGCAGGACCACCAGTCCTAGAAAACCAATGCCACCATATGCTTGCTAGCATTACTGTAGTATTAATACATTTAAGAAATGGCCTCTGCTCAATAGCTCAATTTCCCCACATATACCTTACATAGATGAAAAGATAAATCTGCTGCTTGCAGAGCAGAATAGAAAGAACCAAGATAAAAACCACAAAGAACATTAAAAGCGGGACATTAGAATGTTGTGTCTTTGTTTTCTGTATATTTCTATTAAAAAAATAGGTAAAAGATTACATGGTGAATACTTTCAGTTTATTATGGATTTACTGCTAGTTAAAAGGTATTCCATTCTTCTGTCCTGCTCACAATCAATGGGAATACAAGGTCTGCACCATCATCCATTTTGTAACACAAAAACATATTGACCAGGCCTATTTGCCAGACTTGCCCTTCCAAGGGATGTAGTGACTACCTGAATTATGCCCTCAATTATCTGCCCTCTACTCAATGAAACACAATCAATTGCTAGAATCTCAGGTGTTAGAAATACTCTCATCACCCACACAGTGCTCTTCAAAAACACAAGTTTCAGGAAAAAAAAAATTGGGTTTACATGCAATATATTTATTATTCATCTCTAATCACAACCCTTTATCAACTTTTACATTGAGAGATGTGCACATCTCTCAATAACACCTCAGCAACTTCTAACACAGGTCTCATATGCACCTCACCACAATGGCATTCTATACAAAAATTTAAGCATTAGAGCTGAAACTTCCCAGGAGACTTTTCCCACCATTCACTACACTCTCTCCAAATAACCTTCAACAAAATCAATTTATACATTTTCCACATACTGGAATAATGGCATATCTCACCATGGGATTGCAGTTAAACTTCTGTATTCTGCTTCCTATCACCATAAATTAGAATGCCCCAGCTGTCTCTTACATTCTTTTTTGTCAGAGAAAAAAGCGTCACAGAAATCAGAAGTAAAAAAGGTCACGGAGTCCATCAGCCTGTCTACTATAAAACGACACTGAAATGCTGTACTGGGAGTAATTTAATAGAAGTCTTAACAAATAGGAACCACTCTTGGAGTAAGGGAACAAAAATTGAACAAAATGTTCTTTAGAACTTAATTCTTTTAGTTTATATACAAAACAACAGCCTAAATTTGCCTTCAGCAGAAGAAATCAGTCATGCAGAAAAAAGTCATTCTAACACTGGATATACGTCATCGTTATACAAAGGCTCATCTGTAAAAATGGAAAAGGCTCTTTCATTTAATTAAAATCAGTTTAAAATTGATCTCACTAAATCACTATGAATTTCTAAAGCAGACAATTACAGCTCTTTAAACATCAAATTTAAACTAAGCTAATGCAAGTAAGGCTTAAATTGGCCAAAGTGTTAGATATTTGCACCACGTGAACTGGATGCAATTCTAAAAATTACTGGAGCCAGCGCGGTACAATTCCAGCATCCTGAACTAGTCCACACAAAACCCACGCATCTCCACGCCTGCAGGTAACCCTCTAGACAGGTTTACCATTCAGCTCCTTTACGGACTCCAGGTGTGGCTCCTGGCAAGTCCAGCACAAGTCCCTCACCTGGCTACCAGAGCGGCACCACTGCCTGAATAACGCTCCAGATTATAGTCCAAGCCACGAAGCAGTTCAGAGGATGCTACGAGGAGAGGGCTGCAGGGCCTTAGCCCCAGTGTAGCTGCACCTGAGCGCAGGGCAGAGAAGGAGCAGACAGACACAGAGCTGGGACCAGCACCTCAACACGAACACCCACGCCTTCCCCAAAGGATAAGGCGGGGGAGGAGGCGGCCGCAGCCTGATCAGATACAGAGCAGTCGTAGTGCCCTCAGCCTTCACAAAATCCAGCCAGGATGTTGCTATGGCTTTGGGTATACTGTTTGTGCACTGTTTACCCTTCTGCAGTGTCCCTTTTCTCAAAATTAGAATCAATTTAGTTGTTTATCACCACATATCTGAAATTTAGTTACAAAGACTTTGTTTTTCTGCATAGTCTTCCAACCATAGTTTGCTTTGTCTGCACATCAGATACAGAAACTACACTGAACTAATTCAGTTAGCTTGTTAAAAAAAAGACAGGGCTCAATTTTTTTCTTATAATTCCCTCTGTTTCAAACATGTCAAATAACTGATGGCAATTAACTACAAGACCATGAAAATGGTACCTTGGAACACTGTGAAACAACTGAAGGTGATTAAAAAAACCCCCTACATTACAGCGTGTCATGCATTGTATGAGACATGCACTTAGAAAAAGAAAAAAGTCACAAATGGAAGAATGGCCTTTCAATTCTAATATTACTTTAAAAAAATTATCAACTTTAAAAAAATATTACAATCCTAGAAGATAATACAATGTATATTCTAATATCATATCAGATTATGTGCAAATTGCTTCAAATCCAAATTATGAGTGCTCAGAAATAACAATTATAGCAACCCTTTCACCATAACAATCTTTCCTGACAACCAATATTTCATGAAAACTAACAGCTCAGAGCCAGAGCATAGGAGCAGGGGTAAGTCTATTGCTCTGAAGCAAGGCATGACCAGCAATGTTGTTCATGCCTTACCATGTTCTCAGTTGCACCCGTAAGATGAAAGAGGGAGAGGTGAAACCAAAGAGCATTTCCCACTGATGGAAAGAGCACATTCTCTTGTACCCAGCCTGATGCTAAAGGACAGCAGAACAGTCATCTAATTTATTTTAGATAATTAGTCTTTGTTTTCAGTCATAAAAGTGGCAGTTCAGTCTTTTGATCAAACTCTCTAGTAGCATCTGTGGATGGACAGGAGTAACTGCCTCACATTTTTGTAACGTCCACTAGGATTTTATGGATTGGTACAGAAACTCTGAAGCAATCACCTCCCCACCCCGCTTTAAACACACAATGCAGAATGCTTGCAAGCTCATTAACTTCTCCCTGAAAGTAAGCGAGAGATTATATATGCAATTTTAAAGAGAGTTCGACTATCTGAATAAACCTGTATTACCCACAGTTGATTTTTATTGGAATAATAAATTCACCTTCAGAGCATTTGTGGGTGGTAACTGTGGTGTGGAGGAAAAGATACTTGCTAATATTCAAAGCCAACTATCAAAGCACTGCTCCAAGCAATTTCTGTAGTGTTGCTTTTGTTAAGGAAGCCTTAAACACCTGCATTAAACTGTACACAAACAAAGTAAGTGAGATGAAAATATTTATTATTTACAGACACACACACAAACGTTTAACCTATCAGTAACAAAAATGAACCATTCTAGGGACATGACAATAACCATTACTGTTCAGTTCCTACATCAAAAACATGTAAAATGTTGCAAGTTCCTAATTAGTTACATTTTGACTCATTTGCTGAATTTCAAAGATACCACAAAATATTCAAAAGAATATGGCATTGATCTCAACACAGCCTATGTTAAAACAAACCAGTACCATCTCTTCATACACGTAAGCTTTCAAAGAAACTTTCTTTTGAATAAAGATTTTTATAACTCTTAAAATGCAAAAGTCTCATTCAGCTTTTTCATCTTACTTACTGAATGTTAACTATACTTCGATTTATCTAGCATTTTGTAAAGTGTATCTATAGAAGACAAGCAACAGCTGAGCTACATTAAATTTGATACCATTTACAAATTTTTTCCTCACCAAGGGCTCCTGTGATTTCTAAGGTTGCAGGCTGGGTTCAGTTATTCAACTGTTAAATTTGCAAGATGTCACGTACAAAATCATCTCTGAAGTCATTAAATG